AGGCCACAGCAGCTTGACTGATCCAGAGGGGAGGGGCCAGCATATCCTGTCCTTGTCTGCAACTCACTAACACACAGCAGTGTGTTAGCAGAAGAGTCAGCTAGCCAGCGCACTTCAGAAGAATTGTAACCAACAAAGAAAGAAACTGGGGACTCCTGGAAGAAGCAAAAAAGATGGGAAGAGGAAACAACAACAAAAAGTTCCCAGGCCCAAACCCTGAGAACACTGACCCAGGACAGCTAAATACAAAGGAGAATGAGAACAGAAAACATGCAATATCAGACACAGCACCAGTGGACATAAAGAGATATATTCAGGACCTCATAGATGAGTTCAAAAGTGAAATATTTAGCCAAATAAAACAAGATGTAAGAAGATTAATAAAAGAGATACTAAGCAGATACAGATGGAAGAAGGGAGGAACTCAAACAAAAGAGAGAACCATTTGGTGAAGAGTATAAAAAAATATAGAATACATGAAGCAGATTCAAATACATCACCAGGAAATTAAAAACTCTATGGAAAGATGGCAAATCAGCTTGAAAGAAACTGAGGATAGATTATCCAAACTGGAGGACAATTTTGCAATGTGTGAGTATGAAAGGGAAAACTTTTTAAAGGTAATATGGAAACAAGCAGTAACAATACAAAGGCTAGAAGATGACAAAAGGATCTATAACTTGAGAATAAAGAATGTGAATGAAGAAGTTGGGATACAAACAATGGAACTACAAGGGTTATTCACAGAAATAATTAAGGAAAACTTCCCAAACATAGGAAAAGGAAATGATATTCTGATATATGAGGCATATAAAACTCCAACTACCTACAACCAAAACAGAACTACATCCAGGCATATAATAATCAAGATCCCAGAAATTCAATATAAGAACAGAATATTAAAAGCTGTTAGAGACAAGAAACAGATCACCTACAGAGGAAGGCCCATCAGAATCACGGCAGACTTCTCGACACAAACCATCAAGTCAAGAAGAGACTGGAGCAAAATATTCCAAGCCCTGAAAGAAAATAACCTCCATCCCAGATTAATGTACCCTGATAAACTGTCTCTAGAAATTAATGGAGAAACAAGATTCTTCCAAGACAAAGAGGAACTTGGGAAATTTGCGACCACCAATCCAACTCTACAGAGAATACTACAGGGCATGCTAGAGAGAGAGAAAAGTACTAGGATTCCAGGAACAGTGGCAGAGAGGCCTCAATGAATGGATTAGAAAACAGAATGAAGAAGATAAGCAGACAACTGATGGCAAAAAAAAGAGCATAACAGAAATGAGGCAGAGAAGATTTTATTCAAAACTGATATGATTGATAGTATCAAGTCTGAGAGTATAGGCAACTACACTGAAGATGACAAGACTCCATGATACACATTTTGATAATTGCCAGTTTTTGAAGTTCTACACTATATACAAAGTCGTGTTTTTATTAATACTGTTATGTACTGATATATTAAATTATGCTATGTCTGATGATACAGCCAATTCTATTGGGGATAACAAGAGACAACACAGGAACCAGGGTAGAACTCTTTGTACAACAGTCTTATATGTTTATTTCATTTCATGTGTTTATAGGAATATGTTTTGTTTTGCCTTGCTTTGTTTTGCTTCTCCCTCTAATATAGAAAGGATAGAAATACATGTTAAGACTCATGCATGTGTAGAATCTATAAACAGTTTATGAGAACTGATCTTATGACACATGATGAAATGAACAGATACTCTGAAGAAAAAGAGACACTGAAATACCCAGTGCTGATCCTGGAGTGTCATAATGTGAAACCCAGCAATAGTATTATTCTTTGTTCAGAATGATATTAGCCTGCTTGGGTTTATTTAATCTTAACATAATTGAAGATATGGATAACTGCATGTATGTTTAAGTGTATAGGATTGACAACCATCTTACTAAGTTTTTATTGGACAGTTGAACAGAACTGTTTGCAGTCTCGCTGTTTGAATCCCCACTTTACATGTTCCATTTTTGTATCTTGAACAACTTTTTGTAAAATGACAATATATAAGCATCAACTAGTGATTTCTTAGTTTGTTTTTTTCTCTGAATGTATGTATTATTTCTACCTATGTTCTGTTTTGTTCAGTCTTTCTTTAAATAAAATTTTTTTTTAAAAAGACCTGCATCCCAGCATTCAGGAGACTGAGGCAGGAAGATTATGAGTTGCAGGCCAATCCTGGCTATATAGCAAACTCAAATCTGGCATGGACTATATGTAGCAAAGCCTTATCTCAAAAGCAATAAGAACAAACAAAGAAGATGCAGCATTATTTTAATGAGGCTGCCAAGAAACTTAAGCGCTGTTAATTTAATTGTGCTTTATTTTATTATGCTTTTTGTTTGTTTTTTGAGACAGGGTCCTTGAATGCACGGCAGCACCCAGGCTGGCTTGAACATGTGATGATCTTCCTCCTTCAGCCTGCCAAGTGCTGGGATTACAGGTATGTGCCACCATCCCAGCCTTGTTATGCATTCGTTGTAGTTGATTTTACGTTTTTTCCTCCCCTTCACTCTCCCCTTCTCTCACCTCTTCACTCACCCGTTCCCTCACCCCCATCCTAGTTGATTTTAAACTGTACCCCAATCTGAGGGATAGTAATATGTTGAGAGATATCTGTCATGGAATGTGTAAGCATATAGCACGCTTGTGACATGTTTCCCTAACAGTGTATCATGACCGAGAGTGGCTCATATATGTGTGTGTGTGTGTGTGTGTGTGTGTCTAATATTAAGCCATTTGTCTAGTTCTACTATTTTAATCATCAACTTCATCAAAATGCGCAGAAATCAGATGGCATAAGTTTTGCGTCTGAAGTGTCCACTAAAGGCCCATATGCTAAATGTTTGGTCTACAGTCTGTCCAGAGGTGGGGGCCCTCAGGAGGCGGGGTCTGGTGGAAGGAAGGTCTGGGGGCATGCCCTCAAAAGGAACTGCTGGGACTGTGGCCCCCTTTCCTATTTTTCTTTGCTCCCTAGAAGCTGTGCTTTGCGCTACTACTGGCTCCCTACTATGATGTTCTGCCTTGCTACAGGCCCAGAAACGATGGGGCCGACTGACCATGGACTAAAACTTCCTGCTTGTTTATAAACCTTTCCTCCTTAAACTGATTTTTTCAGGTTCGTTTCACAGTGAGGAAAGTTGAGTAACATGGATGGTTTATATTAATAAATCTGACCTCTTAGTTTGGTCTTTTTGAGACTGGGTCTCGCTATGCAGTTCAAACAGGACTTGGGCTCACTGTGTAGCACAAGCTGGCTTCAGACTTGCCACGATCCTCCTGCTTCAGCCTCTCGAGTGCTGGGATTACAGGAGTGCACCACCACACCTGGCTTGTGGTTTATATTAATGAATGACCAGTATGTAAGTAGATGGTGAGAAGATGGTAAATCTGACTGGTTTTTAAAAATAAAATAAAAACAATTTTAAAATAGTGAGTCATAAGTTTCAAAATAATTTTTAAATAAATGAAGATTTCAACATACAAGAAACATTTGTGGGACCGTAACAATAACACTTAAATCATAAACAGGTGAATGCACAAGTAGGCTTTCTCCAGATCTACATTTTAGGGAAAGAATATGTAACCTCACATAAAGAGTGAGGGGAACACTAAATGTGCCTATTTCACCAGCTATGCACATCCCAGGGAAAAAGCAGAGAACTGGCAAATAATGAGAGGGTGGAGCTGCCCAGGAGGTGGGGATGCATTTATACCGCGTAAAGAAAAATTCCCGGAAACAAAGGAATTCAGGCTACCCAGCTTGGAAAGAGAAGAGAAAATACTATGTTTATACAAAAGAACTTCAAAGAGAAATACAATCTGTTTTCTTTTTATACTATTGCAACTCAAAACAAAATAGAAGAACAAGTATAATTACAGGAAGGGTTTACAGCTATTATACAGAGTACGGGGTTTTACATAAAACATAATGACCTTCAAAACACTTAACACAAACTCCTTAGAAGCGATTCCATGCCCTTGGTAGAGGCCTGAGGCATGGCTAGGATCTGGCATTTGACCTCCCAGCACCTCCAGGGCTGCACACACTGTGGCCAGGCTCATCTGCCTAAGTGCATACCCGCCACTGGCCAGCACTGTGACACTTTGCTGGGACTACTTTGCAAATCACTCTCCAGATCATGAATACAGAGTGGCCCCAAAGACCAACCTCATGGGTGTAACACGAGACTCTGGCCCCTGAGACGTGTGTCCTGCTGGACCATTTAGACTTGCACCCGGGCGGAGCAGTCGGCCAGCCTGCAGTGCCTCACAGCACAGGGAGAGGGAGATGCCTTTCGAGACTCAAAAGATCCTGTGTATGTTCCTGGACAACCTAGCAAGCTCCCATTTCAAAGGAAAAATTTAAAAAGTACTTTTAAAGCTGTGAAAGCTCTTTATTATAAGCTATTGTTATAATGAATTATTTATGTCTTTACACATGACTTCGTATTACTGCTACTATTGCTACTTTCATTTGCCCTGAGAGGTGGCAAAGTGGCACTCACTATCACCCTCTGATGAACCTGGGACACGATTATGTACAGAAAGACAATGACAACGTTTAATAGTCTTTCTTTTCTTTGAGACAGGATGTCACTAAATTGCTCGGGCTGGCCTCAAATTTGTGATTCTCCTGCCTCAGCCTCCCACCTGTATTTTCTCACTATCAAAAACTATTGAGTATGAACTAGAGATGAGAGAGAAAATCTGGAGCCTGGTTTGTGTTGCTTTTGATTTGTGTACTGAAATTGAACCCAGGGCCTTTGCTACATCACCATCTTTTAAAAATTTTTTTAAATTTTGAGACAGGGTTTCACTTATTTTCCCACGCTGGACTCGGACACACAATCCTCCTGCTTCAGCCTTCCAGAAACTGCAGCTTATTACAGGCATGCACCACCATGCTGGCCTGCAGTTGAGTTTTATATTATGTCAGGAGGGGTAGAAGTAAAGGTTTCTGGGGGTGTGCTCAGAGCAGGTGCCCTGAAGAACGGCTCCTCTGTTTACAGCACTCCAACAGGAATCGAAGGTCATTGTGACAAGGGACATAACACTATGACTTCCCTTTGAGCAAATCTCCTACACATGTACTCTATATGCTTCCATATGGCTTCTGGAGGGTGCCCATGGACAAGCTTCAGGAATGGGGGGAATGCAATGCATTTAGTGGGCAAGCTGTGCATTTTGCATCTGCCTGGTGCATCCATGGGTGATCTATTGGTGGCCCTAGAAGTAAAGACTTTGAATTTCTATTTTCTTTTTTTAAAATTTTATTTAAAAGGAAAAAGAAAAAAAACCACAAAACAAAACAAAGCGGTGTAAGGGTACAAGTAATACAGAACTACAAAAAAAAAAAAGTAAGAAATCACCAGTTAATAGATTACATATTATCATCTTAGAGATAGTTGCTCAAATCACAGTATCAAAGCATACAAAGTGGACATTCAAACAGTGAGACTGCAAACAGTTGTGTTCAATGATCCAACCAAAAACATTAATATGGTCAGCTATTTAACACCCCTAAACACACTTGCTGTTGTATCCTTTAGAGCTCTTTTTTTCCCTCTCTTTTTTACAACATTGAATTTCTATTTTCAATAAATTTTTTAAAAAGAAAAAACAAAAAAGTAAAGCTTTATCAACTGCTAGTGGCTTGCACACTTTCTATGTATCGGGCTCTGTATGTAATCTCTACATAGCCGTCTTCAGTTAACCCTTAAACAGCCCTGCAAGGAGGGTATTAAGGTATCGTTCTGGCTTTCTACTGCTACTGCACCCAATAACCACAAAGTCAGGGCCTGAAAGCCATGCAGCTGTTTCTGCTGCAGTGATTACAAGTCTGAAATCAGGCTGGCTCCTCCCAGGGGCTCCAGGTGATGCAGGTTCTGTGCCTCCCCCAGTCTTTAGAGAATATGCCCCTTCCTGGGAACGGGGGCTGCACCCCTCTTACCTCGGCTTCCCCTGTGGTGGCTCTATCCCTGCCTTGCTCTTTGCTGTATGTGGACACTCACGATTATAGGGGACCCACTCAAATAATTCGGGATAATCTCTCCATCTGCTCCTTCATCCATAATCAAAAATGTGCGGCCCTTAATTAAAACTCCAAAGTTCCTTGTCACATGGAGCAACATATTCACAGGTGTAGGGGACTAAGACATGGGAGTCTTTAATTTATTTCCCATCCTGTCTCCCACAGCAGCCTGCTAACCTAATCTCAGGTTACACACTTGGTAAACGGGAACCTGGGTGTTGAGCCCAGATGAAGGCCTCTGTTCTCTACCCAAAAAGAAACACTGCCGCCCCACCCAGAGCACACGCTGCAGTCTGCTTCATCGGGGGTACACCTGCCACAGGGGTCTCTGTGACAGCTTCTGATAAGGAAGAATCTGCCTCACTTAGCAGACTCACAGGCTGCACTGGCTCAAGCCCCATGTTTATTATCCCCTGTCCTGCTGCTCCCTGCAAGACAGAATTTAGTGCCTAGTTAGCATCACACCAGTAGTTACAGAGAGTTAAACAAAGACCCAGTTCATTATCCCTGAGGGAAGGTCCAAGGCAAATGGTATAAACAAACAGAAGTACAGCGTCAGAATGACATCCAGGGGGATGGCAGCCCCACCTGGAAACTACGGTTGGCACATTAATTGATTTGCGATTGCTCTTTGAGACTTTCATGATGGGGCTGATGGCTTACTCCCGTGACTGCGCCGTTTACTGCTGACTGAAGATACTGACTGAAGCTGCTTCAAATAGTCTTGTACATTTTGTGGTAATTATAAGGGATATTACAAATCAGGCGAGATGGTGAGCCCCAGCCCTCAGGAGTTGGAGCAGGAGGATTCCTTTAGGCCCAGCCTAAGCTACACAGTGAGATAAGGGCAACCTAAACTACATAGAAAGATCGTATCTGAAAAAAATAACAAAGCAAAAGCCTGTTACTAAGGATACAGGTGATGAGACTGGAGCGGGCCGCAAAGCTTTCACCAACCCCCTCTGGTGAAGCGCCCTGTCCCTGCGCTGATGTGATCAGCTCTCCTTGAGCCCTCGCTTCCCACGCTGACTCTGGAGTTTAAGTGCATGTGCAGGAATTCAAGCCCTAGGAACTCCAGTGGACAGGAGTTCTGATCAAGCAAAGGATTCCAGTTTTCCCCACTAGAAATCACTGAAAACGTTTCAGCGTCTTGGAGGCACAGGAACTGACCAAACTGCAGCTGCTATCAGTGAGAAGGAGGCAGTAACCAGCCGCCCTCTTTGGGAGCCTTTCATGGACTGTCTACACTTAGGAGGAGCTCAGTGAGATGCTCTGGGATGGTCCTCCCCTTAGACAGGTGTCTCAGACGCCGGGCACCTGTCTGTTTGCTAACATAACGTAGCTGAGTTAGGCCTGTTGGCTAAGAATAGTTTTGGAAGGAAGGAAGAAGGGAGAGAAGAGACGAAAAGAAAGAAGCAGAGAGAGAAGGAAGAAAAGGGACTCTTCACGTTAGCACCTCACCTGGCTGGGACTGCAGAGCTGGCTGGGGGTCTTAGACCTTTGGAGAGCAACTCAAGTCCCTGCTCCCCGGCCTGGGTCTGGGACTCTCAGACCTCACTCACATTTGACAGCGTGCGAGCTACCCCGGGCTCCAGAACCACGAGGCATCTGGGGGAAACAGGAAACAGAACTCACGCCAGGCAATGAACCTCAGTGGCTGCTCCATTTTGCTGGCAGTGCCACGTAAGGGGGATCTGGCCGTGGAGAAGACCATCTCGTGGAGATGGGAGGAGTCAGGAAAGGAGGGTCTTCCATCTGCCACCCGGCTGCGGCTGCCTAAGGAGGCCTTTGCTGTTTAAATCCGAAGCTTCAGTTTCTCCAACTGCCACCCCCTGGCTTTCCTTTGTAGTGGTTCCACGTTTATGGCTTAGAAAATAATTAATGTCCTGCTTTTAACTTTAACATGATGCTCCTGAATACATACATCCCACCCTGCAGATCTTATTCACAATTCAATTAAGGTGTATATGTCTGGTTCGGGTTTTGCTTAGCTCTTCATATAATTCAATAGATGTAATATGTTATCCACAGAGAAATGCAGAGAGGGGTCACAAACAGCTTTATTTTGATTACCTTGTGTATCTTACCGGATCTTAAATGTCCATCTTCGAGTCTTTATGCTACATGATGAGGGTAAACTGTTCCAGGAGTATTAGCTAATGGTCCACTGCCTTTGGTTAATTTCCTCCGAGAAGATTTATCTCTATTTGTGTCTGCGGCAGCAATGGGTGCTCACTTACTGGTCCGTGAAACCTGAGCACGATGAGTGATGAACATAGTATCCTTTTTCTTACATGCTTCACTGCTGAATCTGAAATTTTCATTAACTGCTTCATGGAAGTTTTGTGTTTTTCTTTTATTGACAAGCAATAGATGATAAGCAATAGAAATGCAACAGTCTAAACAAATCCTTTAGGAGACATTTTGTAAGACATTTCTCTATTCTGTTTATTGCTGATGGTCGGGAATGAATGCTTCAAGCTCTGAATACTGAGGTGTCCTCTGAGCTGATTACAGGAGGTGCCGGCCACTCCAGAGGGATCCTTTAGGGGCTGGTGTAGGGTGTGGGGGACCTGCCTGCTCCAAACAAAGGAAAACCTTCAGAGTGCTGCTTGCCCCTCTCTGTGTCTCTGCGAGGTTGCCAAGGGACAAGTACACTCAGGGATAGCAAACTGTGAAGAGGAGCCAGCCCAACACCTTGACTCCACAGAGCAGTTCTGAATTAAATACCCCACTTTACTTACTCTTCATTTTGTTTTCTGTTTCTTCTCCTCTCCCTCCTCCTCCTCTTCATCCTCCTCCTCTTCTTTTCCTTTTCCTCCTCCTTCTCCTCCTCCTCCTCCTCCTTCTAATGTGATACTGAGAAATAGATCCAGGCTCTCAAGCATGTAGCTCAGTCCCTGAGCTCCATACTCAATCCTTAAATTTTGCTTTTGATTGAAACAGTCAGGCCTTGCCAGTCTTTGATTACAAATAGAACTATGGTCTTAAGTGCTCAAGTTATGAAACTTTACACTTCCTGAGTGGGAGCAAGAAACAATTAGTTGTGCCATAATGGGATGTGACGAATGTGCCAGTGCAGTGCTGTTGACCCCTTGGCTGGTGTGCTGCAGTGGCCTGATTGTAACATTGAAAGCTCTAAAAGGTTCGTCATCACTGCTTTAGAGGATGCCACCATGTATTGTCACCAACCAGCTGAGGGTTTTTTCTCGGCTCAGGTGAAAATCATGAATAGGAAGTGTAGCTCTTTTGGTGTTAATAGCCCTGAGTTTGCATGCCAGCCACTCTCCCAGCCACTGGAGCCAGCAGCTCCTGGCAGCCCTCGGGGCTCCCTCCCATGCTCCATTGCTCCCTGCCATTTTCTGGCTGCTGCTCTCCTCAGTGACTGCATATGGTGGAGACAGCACAAACTGTGTGTCTCTTCTCATAAGGCCACTAATCAGGTCACAGGGTCCCCTCCCAGCCTAGGAGCTCCCAGAGTTCCCCTTCCAAGCCCACAGCACTGTGAATTCCTGAGAACCACACATGCAGTTCCCAGGATTAACAAAGGCAAACAACTGTTCAGCTTCATGTGTATCAGTCTGCACAGCAGAACTGTTCTGGGCTGTGCCTTCTTACATGCTATGTGTAAAGCACCTGAAATATTACAAAAGTGAGCTCATTCCTGGGTGGCCACATGCAGGGCTCCTTAGTCCAGTCATTGATCTTACCTGTTATCCTGACAGAACTATTATCTTCCTCTCAAAATGTCCTGGTTTAGATGATAAATCACCGGGCCACCCTTCTTACTACTAGTATTTCAAAAATGTTTCTTACATTGGAACGTTTTGCTGATGTCAGAAGCTGAGTGATCCATATAGAGGGGTTTATTTATGTTTCATAAGCAAATATAAAATCTATAATTAAGTTGGAGCTAATATATTTATTGATTTATTGCAGTAGTGACGATTGAACACAGGGCCTTAGCAATAAATACACCCTCAGTCCTTTTTAAAATTCTTTATTTTGAGATAGAGCCTTACTAAATTACTGACTTGCCCAGGCTGGGCTGGAAGT